CTGAGACGTTCTAGTATTGTGGAGTTACGAATCTTCTCCACCCAGAAAACTTTTAAAATTCTTCTATAGCACCACATTTCGAAAGCCTCAAGGCAATTTAGATCGATTTTATTTACAGTCCAGGACTCGACAGCATAAAGTAAGACCGAGAACACGTAGCAGCGAAGTAGGCGGATCCTTAATGCCAATTTTAGGTCTCTGTTACATAACACCTTGGACATCCTTCTAAAAGCAGCTCTAGCCTGCTCTATTCTGGATCTAATTTCGCCGTGATTTTCTGCATTACAATTTAATTGCTGTCCAAGGTAGACGATTTTATCAACTTGCTCAAGTTTGGTATTATTTACATATATAGACGGTTTTATATTCTGTTGTTTACTTATTACGAGTATTTTGGTTTTCCTTATGTTAAGATCCAGACCTGCCTCCCTACAACTCTCATCGACAATATCAAGTAGTGTTTGCAGATCTTCTTGACTAGAAGCTAGGAGTACTGTATCGTATAGCGTATCGTATATCGACTAGCATACGTACTAGAAAATTGTATGATATCCTACAGCCTATTAAGGATATTAACCTCTCGAACAAAAATGTTGTTATTTGCACGAACTCTAGCTTCCATTTTATTCAGGAATTTTTTACCGAACATTCCCTTATTTAAGTCATATTTCCAACCAACCATACACGCACATCCCCTTACCAAAATATCCATCACTCTTGCCACCACCTTTCTACCTGAAACACTAAGATTACCTTTGTATGGATTCCGTCTCGCATTGGTATACCTGCCAACGAACTCGCAGATCAGCATGCTAAAACGGATTCAACAGATACCACATCAACAACTCACATCCAAATTTGCAAAGATTTACAAACAGAAGCATACAATTCACCAGGAGACTATGGTAAACCCACTTGAACTCCTTCAATATATTTTTGCAATCCAGCCCTGATTGTATAAGCCATTATACACTGACCTCACAGGACTATTTAGACAAGACCTTATTCCTTATTCCATCCAGACGAAGAATCCGTATAGGCCACACCAAACTAACACACAGCTTTCTGATGACATTAGATGTTCGGCCTATCTGTTAAACATGCCATTACCAACTAACTTCTTACCGAATGTCATCAATACAGTGAAGTAAGACGACAGCTAAATTTCAAGCCTCAGCTAGGTGACATTCTCAGTGATCCCAACCAGATAAACAGAGTTCTTCAGTTTTTTTAGAAAAATATAACTTTATAATATCATAACTCTAAAGTATCATAAACTATAAAATATTTTTATATGAAATAACTTATTAATTACTTTTACCTCTTGTAATGTTGTTTGTAATCATCCACGTGTGAGTGGCTATAGTTACCAAGCACGTAAATGTAAAGAAAAAAATTAATGTAAAAAAGAATTTTCTGTACAATCTGTATTATAGTATAATATATTATAGTCTAACTCATAAAATAATTGATTCAAAAATATTATATAACTCATCCTTTTCATTAGCAAATTTTCCCGGGAATTCCTAATTAGAAACAACGATAACTGATCCTGTTAAAAATCCTTATGGTGACGAGACAATATGTGTATGTTTCGTTTTTCGCATTTTTGCGCTTCGCAGATTGCTTTATGCAGACTTGTTTTCCAATGTAGATTTGTGAAATATTTCCTCTATCCACTTGGTACAATATTTCGTGTTTTTTTGACTGAACATGTTTTTAAAGGGGGGTATTTTTTACTAAAATATCACGCTTGTCCGACATGTGGGTATTTTTCCATTCTCCATTCTAACTCAGACCATATTGGCAGTTGCTAGGTTTGAATTAGATATTGCTTTTTATTTTAATTTTTTGTTATTATTAAAGCTAAGATATTAACGCTAAGTATAAAACGTTAAAGAGTAGGTTTTTTAAACTGGAAATTTAGTAGAGAAAATGAGGACAGATAAAATAAAAATAAAAATATACAGGGCTGTCCTCCCTGGATGTTGTTGAAAGCAATGGTTGCTGCTTTCTTCACATACGATGACCTTCATATAACATATGAAGCCATCAGAGAGGGAAAAGAATATATTATGTTCAATATATTTGTATGTATTATTACCATAAAAAGATAACAAGCGAGTAGACTATATAAAACCATGTAGAAACAAATAAAGCAAAAGACAAATATACGTCAACATATTAAATATCGAAGAAAGGAAGGTAATCAAAATGTTTAGAAACCTTGAATAAACTTAAATGGCTATTAAAAAAGTAATAGACAAGAGACAACGGAGGAAATCGAGATCAAGAAAGGCGTAAGACAGGGTTGTATACTCTCACCGACCTTATTCAATCTATACTCCGAAGACATTATAAACACAGCACTTTCGGATCAAAATATAGGTATTAAGATAAATGGCATCCGAATAAACAACTTGAGATATGCCGATGACACGGTACTAATCGCAGAAACTTGGGAAGATCTTCAAATACTAATTAACAAAATAGTAGAATGCAATGAAGAACACGGATTATCACTTAACATAAGCAAAACAAAAATAATGCTAATATCTAAATCACCACAAAACTTCCCTGACATAACCGTGCATGATCAAAGAATGGAACGTGAGGGAAGATATAATTACCTGGGAACTGTTATCAACGAAAATAATGACTGCTCTGAAGAAATCAGAACCAGAATAGAGAAAGCTAGAGCCACATTTACTAAATTGAAAAAGGTGTTCTGCGGAAGAGATCTAAGTCTAAAACTTAAAATTTGTTTTTTGAGATGTTACGTTATGTCAGTTCTCCTCTACGGGATGGAAACATGGACATTGAAAAAGATCGATACCAAAAAGATAGAAGCATTTGAGTTGTGGATGTATCGTAGAATATTAAGAATACCCTGGACAGAGAAAGTAACAAATGTGGAGGATTTGCGGAGAGTGCGGAAAGAGAAAGAGCTGATACTTACTGTTAAAAAGCGCAAACTACAATATTTGGGACATGTTATGAGGGGAGATAAATACCAGTTGCTGCAATTGATTATACAGGGAAAGATAATGGGAAAGAGATCTATAGGAAGAAGAAGGCATTCATGGTTGAAAAACTTGAGAGAACGGTACAATTGCACCAATTACCAACTGTTTAGATCTGCAGCATCAAAAATACGCATAGCTTTGATGATAGCCAAACTTCGGAACGAAGACGGCACTTGAAGAAGAAGAAAAAAGTAATTTATAAGTTATATACCAGAGAATATTATAAAAAGTATTTATATGAGGGCATCCTTAAGAAATCAGCATAATAGTTTGTTTAAAAAGTTTTTATTTTGCAATGTATTTGGTTATTTTGATAGTTATGATATTATAAATAGATTAAGATTAGTAAATTTGTTATATTGGGACATTTTGTGAATAAAAGTGATATGGGACAGTGAATCAAGGTGAAATTGGACAGAAAGTGGACATTTAAAATAATAATAATGGGCTAAAATAGTGTTATTTACTAATTTAAAATGTTTAATTTATATATAGGTTTATATTTTGAAAAAAGCCTAAATTTCCATAAAATTCTCAATAGAAAAGTAAAGAACTATCTAGAAGTATAAAATCAGACGTCAAAACTATCTACAAAATAGAAGAATCTAACCTCTTTTTTTTTCGAGAATATTCGCGAACATTGAAATATCTACAAAATAGAAGAATCTAACCTCTTTTCTTTCGAGAATATTCGCGAACATTGAAATATCCATAAATACGTTGTCACTTGGTGCGAAGGAGGAGATTAAGAGATTAAAAATTATATTATTTATCTGGAGATTAAAAGATTATTGGAAAAAAGATTAATTATTGAGAAGTCAAACTGTAACAATTCATTTTGGAAAAAGTCAAGTTTTTGTTAAATTTTCATAGAAAATAAAGCAAGCAAACAGTAATATATAAATTATTAATAGTTAGAAGTCAAACAAGTAAAGAAGAAAGAATATTTTACTCAACGATAAATGTTAATAAGAAGAAAAATAATTTGAAATGGTGGAAGCTGATAATTGAAACATTGTGGTGTATTAGGAGGAAAGCGATTTCATAAAAAGAAGGATAACCAGAGGCTGATAACGGAGATATTGAGTGGTGATTAAAACCTTTATTTTGGAAAACAATTTCATTTAGACATTCAGTGACAGAAAGGTAAAAAATGTTGTTCGACACCTATAAATTTCTGCCCATACGTTAGTGTCAGGCATCTGATTCTATAAAGTGCCAGAAAGTAATAAGATTGTTGAATCAGAATCCGAAGCTGAAAAATAACTACATCAAAATGACATACAAAATTGCAAAACCTTTTTATTTATCAAATTATCAATTTTTTATTCATATTGCTTAGCTTAAGTGGTTCACAGGGTCAAATTTAGGTGTCAACCTAAGGTCTTAATTTTGGTTTTAAAAAAAGTTGGTGGAATAATAATTTAGCTATAAATATAACACAAACCAGCGAAATATCCGGAAAACCAAAGATTTTAAGCGAGCTATGGTCAAAAACAATTTTTGACGTTTTATGGACTTTTGAGGTTGTGTCAATATTTTGTACTAAAATTTGGTGAATCTTTATCTTTTGTGATGATAAACAATACCTCAAAATTTCTTTCCAGCTATGTGCTTTTAAATTACTATTTATTTCTTGTCATAATTTTAATATTCTTGTAATAATGTCTGGATCATCCTAATTTATATCCTGTAGCAAGTGTATTTTGTAGGGATCAAATTGTTAATATTTTAGTACGCTGCGGACAGTACAGTTTTTTTAGTACTTGAAGTAAGTTCCAAATTAACATAAAATTGCTACTTCTGCTGCTTCAACCTTAACACGTCGTTAATACTTCCTTTTTTATCAGCTACTGAACCCATTTCATAATTTTTTTCAACTAGTTTTAATACATATTCCCGATATACGACTTAGTGTAAAGGATATTTTTATGATAATACGATACGTATGACTATTTTTAGTATTATTAAACACTAATTTAAATCTGTGAAATAGTTGTTGTTTTATTTTGTATAAAGCTTAACTATGGAATAATTTATCTCAATTATTTTAACGCTGCAAACATAGCGCTCTGACAAAATGCACCTTTCGCAAATCCGTTCAAGATTCTGTTTTTCCCTTTTCTTATTGCACAAATCCACTTCTGGATCTTTTAATAATTCTCCTTTCCTTAGGAATCAAACTGATGATATTTCGTTTTCCGATGTAATAAGAACTTATTGATTTCCCTTAGAAAATATGAACTAATGGAATGGTCTAAATAGTTTATCAAATATATTTGCAGCATGTTCACCTTTTAAAATAAATTGAATTTGTTGATAAGATATTTCCTTTTTATTTTAATTTAGAATATATAAAACATAGGAAAATATCGATAGAAAATTAATTAAATTAATAAAAATGCCTCGGATAAAAATTTTATGAGAAACGGAAATCGGAAAGCCCATCTCCGAGATTAATTTAAAACCTAACACTCTATCCCATATTATCAGCCTTGTAATGTATTGTATGCAAATAGCAGTAAACAACGGATACAACGGACAAACAATTAATAAAATGTTAAATCAAAAACTACACAAGAAAGCCCTAAAATTAGTATTTCCACCACCAGAGAAAAAACCCAGTACCTTCTGCTCGATTACATATACAGGCAAAATAACAAAAATTGCCAAACACATAAAAAAGAAAGGAATAACACCAGCTTTCCGAACAAATAACAACCTAGGCAAATATATTAAAAATAACAAGAGCCAAAATAAAAAACACTTAAATAGTGGTGTGTACAAACTTCAATGTGGCGACTGCCCAAAAACTTACATTGGCCAAACTGGTAGAAACTTTGATAAACGAATAGCAGAACATAAAAGGGCTTTTAAGAATAGAAAAACAGATTCGACATACGCACTTCACCTTCTAGATCATAATCATTCTTTTAATGACAAATTTAAAATTCTTCACATTCAAAATAAATGCCTTATGCTATCTTTGTTAGAATCTATGGAAATCAACAAATTAAAAAACACAGATATAATTCTGAATGACCAACTTAAGACAAACAGTTCTCCCCTCCTCAACCTATTTCATTAGAGACTATAAATTTGTAAACCCAAGCCAAAATAGATCACTTGAGAAAGGCAATCAGCCGAAACAGCTGTAGTGATAAGATTTAAAATAAATTTTGTGTAAGTTTGAAAACAAAGTTTTCAGTGTTTTATTGTTAAATAAGAGATCAGTTGGTCAAAAAAATTAACGAGGAAATAAAGATAAATATTATCGATCCAAAAGAAAAAAAATGGAAAACCAAAAATATTTGTAGTAGACGAAATTATACATAGTCTTGGGCATAATGTGTTAGGGCTGCCCTATTACCATTGTGAATTCAATCTCATTAGTCAGTTTGGTTTTAAAACAACCTTGGAACCAGAAAAGGATTATTTAGTTTACAGGTCCTGGTTCAAAAACGTAGGGATGTAGATCAACCAGTGTATATGTGTTTTATCTATTTTGAAAAGGCCTTTGACCGGGTCACCCACGACAAACTAATAGGTGTCTTGAAATAGTTGGAAATTGATGACCAAGACTATCGTATTATTAAAAATTTGTATGGACATTATTGTGCAAACATACGAACTTCTCAGAATACGACAGATCTCAGATACAGACAATATTGAATTGCATTCAATGAAAAAGAGTTGCAAATACTTATAAATAGAGTGACCGAAACATGTGTTAAATATGAGCTAAAACTTAACACTTCTCAGACAAAACTTATGGTTGTCAGCAAAACAGAGTTTTGCTAACAACCATACTTATCCGCAACATTCGTCGATAAATCCATGTCGTTCGGATTTACCAACGAATATTGCGGATAAGTTGGGTTTATCATACAACAAATGAAATAGTTTTACACCGAATGAAAAAGAACACAGACATACAAAAACAATAAAAATTCGAAAGTTACAATATTTCGGCCATGTATAGAGACATCCAGGGAGGTAAAACCTCCCGTTTTACACCTCATAATACAGGGCAAAATTGCCGGTAGAAGTGGCCCAGAACGGATAAGAACATCCTGGCTCCAAAATCTCCGAGAACGGTATCAAGAGACCACCGCTAATTTATTTAGAGCCACCGTAAACAAAGTTATTATTGCCAATATAATTGCTAACGTTTGATAATCAGACGAGGTACTAAAAGTAAAAAAATATATTTTTGTGGGAATGTGCAAAATTTACTGCGAGAACTATATTGGACGTAACAGTTACAAGGATGCATCAGTTTTGGAAAAGTGGCAAGAAGCACTGAATACTGAAACTCCTGCAATTTGCAAAAAAAGGGTCTGGAAATGTAAAAAGTTAATAGAAGAATGTTGGCTGAAGCAACTAATGCAGTCATTATTTACAATCCAAATGAAGATACCAACGACAGTGATTATGAGAATGAATCAAATTCTTGATTACACTGTAACGTAATATGTTTTCATTTTTCAATGTTCATTAAGAGCAATTTGAAGTGTAAGTGTTATTATTTTATCAGTAAATACTTACCACTATAATTTAGAAACAGTAAAAGTTTTAATGTTCTTCTAGTTTTGCACTAATAATTATATATTTTTCTAAACGAAAGTAAACTACATTTAGTACACAATATTATATTATAATAGATACACAATTGAGTCATTAGAAATGTAATCAAGAATATTAATCAAAAACTTTGTATTATGGATAAACATTTTAAATGAAATTTACTTGAAAAAATATATTACTTTATAAACAAATTTCATTAAAACCACTTCTAACCTTTAGTAGAATATAAAATACGTATACCGGCCGTTATAAATTCTAAATGCACTTTCTATTTCAAAAGCTGAATTTACTGTCACGAACAATAGACCACTGAAATAACAAATTTAAACAAACAGTGTTCGCTGTATACAAGGTACGCATAGACTCACCAATATCTTAGTAAAATAAACAATATTTAAAAAGAAGCAATATAATATCCAAACAACAGTCAATAGGGTGGATGTCTATGGATTGAGCATATAAACTGTGTATAAAGATGGTTAATGAACTGTCTGATTAAGAATTGTTGTCAAACATTTACTTTACTTGCTATTTTGGTTTCTGGTTTGGAAATGGTTAACAAATAGAAATAGTTTATAATAAAAAAAGGTGCATTTTGTAAACTATTTTTGATTGGGAACTATAAATCTTAAATTAAATATTTCTATTCGTATTTGTGGATAATAACAAAAAAAATTATCATCACACTATATAAATTTCCACGAAAAAAGTTCCAACTGTAAAATCACTACATTAAAAAACTCAATACTATTTTGTAACTTTATCCTTCTTTGAATGGTTTTCAGTTTGCTTTCACATACACTGTTTTTATTTAAAAACGACCCACTCTAAATATTTTAGAAATGCGATATTAGAAAGAAATGCAGAAACACGGCAACTTTTAACTTAAGGGGGCCTCCCAACTAGAGATACCCATTAAATTTTGGGCGAAAACAGCTAAGTCGTTCACCGTGCTTCGGAAGGTACGTAAAAGCGTTGATCCTCGTGGGCTAATATGCATCGACACTAGCTACTTGAAACAGGGTTAAAGATATTATAGGCGCCGGAATAATCCGAAAGGATCTCTCTGACAAGAACGTCATAAGATATTATTATTATTACTCTTAATTTTTTTAACTGACGTGATACATTAATTAATATCTCATTTTAAAGGTATGATAAATCAATATTTGGGTGAATTTACAGCACATCTACTGCACATAGTTACTGATCACGATTTTCGTTTATCAAGATCAGTCATGGAAAGACAACCAAAAGACTGTTTGGCTCCCCCAGTCGTTAACCTGCGAAAACCCTACAAAAATAATAAAGGTGAAAAGATCGCTACCTGGAATATTAAAACAATTTATGAAATATACACAACTTCAAACAAGAAATTCAACGCATGTCCATCAAAATATTGGCACTAAGTGAAACTAGATAGACAGACTCGGGTGAACAAGAGACTTCAAATAGCAAAATATACTATTCGAGAAATAATGATGCAAACCATCGAAATTGAGTAGCAATTGTTGTTGAGAAAAACTTATGTCAGTCAGTGAACTCTTTCGTTCCTATCTTCGATAGAGTAGTTATGATTATTCTAACAATGATCCAACCAAAAATAAATATAATCCTAGTATTTGCTCCAACTTCCGACAAGACTGTGATATAGAACTATTCTATAAAGATATTACGATTATTATGGACAATTTTAATTTAAAAGCAGATAAAGGAAAAGTAGAAGATATTGTTGGAAAATATGGACTTGGTTTAGGAAATTAGAAGGGAGACAGATTGGTGGAGTTCTGTCTACCAAACTGTTTAAGTCAAAGCTTGCTTTCATTCCTAATCTAGTATAACCACAAATTCGTGAAATATACTTTACATAAATACAGTAATTATGAACGATATAGTCGATTTTAACCAAGCCTGGTTAAACATGATGCTAAAACTAGATTTAAATGACTGAATCGCATTAATATTATCTCGGGGATGAATTCAGAGGTCATCTAATTTATTAACGGTAATCTGTAGTGTTTGACCACCAAAATTATGCATTTGAGCAGAAACAAAAGATCCAAATAACAGGTGTTTGAAATTTTAATCAAAAATTTAAAAAAAATGGGAGACAAACGTCGGCAGACCTTTTGACAATTGAAAAAATTCTGAGATAGACAACGGCAACCCTTTTGACTAAAATACGTACAATTAAGTATGTAGTCTAAACATTCATCTCGCCCTTAGACGTACCCCTATGTCTAACACGAGTAAGTGTGAAATATTTAGTCGTAAAAGGGAGCATATAAAGTTCAGTTTGAGACATATTCGAAAGTCCTTCATCTGTAATATCTTCATTTTCGATATATTACGTGATCAATACTAAACAATAGCGAAAGTTAAATACTTCTCAACGATATTACATCAAATCTGAAGCAGCTATAAAAATTATTAAAATAACGAAATTTAAAAGTCGACTAGGAAAAAGTTCGGCGACATTTTTCAGACAAAAGCAGTAAATGTTAGCTTATAATTCGTATTTAAAATATTACTTAGCTATAAGTCTTTAATGATTTAAATCGTGCTGCAAGTTATTCTTAATTATTTTTATTTTTTATTAGCAGTTGTTTTCGGAGAAAATATGTTTTCCAAAATATAACCAAATAGCTTTAACTAAAATTTCCATTTCAGTTTCGGAAATATTGGACCAAAACGATTAAAATAATGTTTATTAGTATAACAGAAAAATTAACAGGTATATTCAAGTTTCAACTTTAAATTTATTAGTGCAAAAGCAATATCGTGATCTTACCTGTGTGTGTACGAAGATGAGCTTTAAGATGAGAACTTTTTCCATAAACCTTTTGACAACCATCATACGAACATTTGTGAGTTTTCCTGACCTGTGAACCCAACCGAGTACCCGTTTGAGCCCTAGTGACATTAGCCTTTTTAGTGGGCGGTACCCCTTCGGCCTTTTGTACCGGAGGGGGCGTTACCGCTTTCTCTTTAGGTGTTTCGGAGGCGGGGCTCTTTTTCTCTTTATCGCTGTCTTCATCTATCGTTAGAGAGCCCTCTGAATCACTGGGAACCTCTGGTACTGGCTCTTGTTTGATCCTGGTAAGGTCTGTGAGTATGCGAGCAACCATGTAAGATGAAGATTCTGTGTTGGTGTTGCTAGTTTCTTCCTTGACATAATTGGAGGGTATGGGTGGTATTTTTTCGACTATCACTGCTGGTCCGGGAGCATTAACGAACACGACTTCTCGTATTACGTGAGTAGAAAGATCAAGGGGTCTGTTTATGTTGAGGTAATCCTTGCTGTGGGACATTTCAAGCAAACACTGAGCAGCGAAATTAATGTCATCCATTTTGATCCTCGTTTATCACTGAAATCCAGAAAGAGTATAAAATCACTGCACTAATACACTTTAATCGCGAACACGCGGTACATTGTTATTATTTTTGGTTTTGCAGGAGGCGTGTTTTGAGCAACACTTCGGCGCGTGATATATTCGGAAAAACAATTGACGACCCTTCTTACGCAAAGCACAGATTCAGACTAAACGCGGACCACGGAAAGAACAGAGGTATGCCGTTCTCTCCCCCGAATGCTAGAGGTGGTCGCGCTGCTATTTATATATCAGGGTGAAAATCTTTAATTACTCTTCTATTTTAATAGGTCTAAAAATAATTGTAGGAATGAAATAATGGATTTAAAAAGGTTAAGAGGTATTATAGAATGCCCGAGCATGCATTTTCTTAAATGTCTTGATTATTTTAAAAAAATCTAACAAGTGAATTATTAGGAGGGTTTTTGTCTCCAATACGAATATTATTAAAATACCACATGCATCTCCCACTGCCGTCTTCATTTTGAAAATTATAAAATAACAAATCGTTTTTGGTTATTTTTGTATTTTTGACACTATGAATCTAAGATACTAATATAAGATTATTGAAAGAAGATAGGATTTTTGAGTGAAAGTATCTTGAAAATCGCACTTAGAGGCAAGCAAAGTTACAATAAGTAGTTAGTAGACGCGCTTAAAATAATAAAAATAAAAGTTCTTGCATCCAAAAGATGAAATACACAATAAAAATTAGTTCGAAATTATAACATATCGGAGGATACATATTATATCGGAGGATGGGGCATTGTGAGCCATCTAAGGAAGATATGCACATATAGTTAAATTAGAAATAAAATTCGTTGTTTAAATAATTAGGAACGTTCATTAAACATTGAGTGGCCATTTAGTTGCAATTAAAACTGGATTTATTTAACGTATTTGTCGCAATAAATGACAACTGACTATATTAGTCAAAAGTTCAGAATGCCCCATAGGGTGGGACGATGCAAACTACTAAAGAAAATCAAACTATTTTATTACCTAACGGCTATGTTTTTTTAAATCAAATCAAGGAAAAAAGTAATTTGTTATTAAAAATACTTAGAAATCCGGTAAAAGAACATTAGTAAAAATAAATACATATTATGCTTATCCAAAAATAGAAAATTCTCACCGAAATCCTTTATCATCTTCTATCATCATCATCATTATCAATCAGCCCTGAGTAGTCCATTGTTGAACATAGGCCTCCTCTAGACTTTTCCATCTGCTTTTGTTCTGCGCCTCTGCTATCCATTTGGTCACGATTCTTTTGAGGTCGTCGGTCCATCGCGTTGGGGGTCTTCCTCGGCTTCTATCAGCCCTTGGTCTCCCCTCAAGCAATTTTTTTATCCAACTGTCGTCTTTCATTCTTGTAATATGTCCTGTCCATCTCCATTTATTGCCTTGTAATATGTTCGATAATATCTTTCACTCCGGTTCGTCTACGAACTTTCTCGTTTCTTATTCTATTTCTTTAGCTTATTCCAAGCATCGATCTCTCCATCTTTCGTTGTGTCCTTCTCAATTTTTTGGCTGATGTTTTTGTGAGAGTTAACGTTTCTGCTCCGTATGTGAGGACTGGTGAAGCTTTTCTTTTTAAATGGATCGCTATATTTGTTTTAAATACGGCTCTCGTTTTTCCGAATGCAGCCCAACCCAGATTTATTCTTCTGAGTAGCTCGCATGTTTGGTTATCTCGCGTTAACCTCATTTCGTGACCCAAATACACATATTTTTCCACAAGTTCTATGGGTGACTTTTCGATTTCTATTAGCTCATTGGGGATGAGATTGGTCATCATTTTTGTTTTTCTATAGTTTATTTTTAAACCGACTTTCTGGGTTACTTGCTGTAGTTGTTGTAGCATAACTCTGGCTTCTCTCAAGTTGTCTGTGATGAGAACAATATCATGGGCATATCTGAGACGGTTGAATATCTTTCCATCGGTGCTAATACCCTTTGACTCCCACTCCAGCCATTTAAATGCGTACTCCATAACTGTTATAAATAGTTTTGGCGACAAGGTATCTCCCTGCTGCACCAATCTGCCAATTTTTATCTTCTCAGTCATGCAATGGAGGTTAACGATTGTTGTCGCATTTTCGTATATATTTCGAATAATATTTGCATACCTGTGATCTATTCTGAATTCTGATAGTGCTTTTAAGATAGCAACTATTTCAACTGTGTCAAATGCTTTGCGGAAGTCGACAAAGATAAGGGCAAGGGGTCTGTTATATTCGATAGACTTTTCAACTAGAGTTTTAAGGCATTGCAAATGGTAGTTTGTTCCGTGTCCCGCTCGAAATCCTGCCTGTTCTTCCTATTGATAGAAATCGAATTTTGCTTCTAATCTGTTTGTCAGTATTCGAGTAAAGAGCTTGTATAGGTGGTTAAGCAAACTAATTGGCCTATAGTTTTCGAGATTTACTTGGAATTTTTTCACTATGCAGACATAGATTAAAAAGTGTTTATTCGGATTCGGGACATCAAAAGTGGACCTCCTACTTTAATTGTCTCAATAACTACACCATCTTCCCCCGGAGCTCTATTATTTTTCATATTTTTTAGGGCATGTTGAATTTCCTCTTGTGATATATCTAGTATATCCTCTGATCCTAGATTATCATCTTCTAAATAGTGTGAACAAAATCTGATTGTGATACATCATTAGTAAAAAGACTATAAAAATGCTATCCAATGGTATAAATAATAACAAGACAGGGTGTACAAAAAGGGTGTACATATGTGAAATTATGAGTACAATTTCAGTGTATGTAAACTGTATTACATAGGGATGGTTCAAATAAATTAGGATATGTAGTAAAGGGTTATACAGACAATAGCAACTTAAGTTTATACAAAGTCTTACCAATATATCTGCTCCACACACTCGCGCTTATTCTTCATAGGCGGAATCTGTTCGGGCACCGGTTTCTGAACACATGTTTCGCTGTACTAACACTGAGATCACGAGATAAAGCATATTTTGCGTCTGTACACGATTTAAAATAGTATTTGCAGTATTTTTCGCGTAACTAAAAGCAGGAGAGAGATAATTAGTTAGTGGCAGTCAACAGTAGAGAGTGTCTCTTTAGCGATAGATAACAGCCAAGAGAGCAACTGTTCTTCTCGATAAGCAAAAGGGTAAGAGAGACAGACTGAGAGAGAGAGAGAAAGAGAGAGAGAGAGAGAGAGAGAGAGAGAGAGAGTGGTCTGCCTAGCGAGACTCAGCAGAAGGAAGAGAGCGACTGTCCTCAACGACAGTCAACAGACAAGAGAGAGTCTTTCTTTTTTGCTATTTTAAAACTGTCTATATTTCTAATGGAGTGGGGTTAAAATGTGAGTAGGAAGGGTTAAAGAATGGGAAATATTTGTAAAATTATGGTAGAATGGTAGTTAGTACTACAGCGAAGAAATGACATGATGTTTTGCATGTGAAAAAATTAAGCACAGGGTGAAGCAATAATCGTGAAACTTTGGCTTAAATGGAAAATTATTGAAGTTTTTGTTGTACTACAAATTTGTTAAAAATGTCAATTCAGTAAATGTTTAAGGCGGGTTCCTTTGTTTTGTAAACAACGGAAATTAGGCTTTCTAATTTCAATTACCGGTCTGAGAGTTGTAACACAAATAAATGGTATCAGTCTTCTGAAATGAGCCCTATATTATAGTTAAATTATTAAAGACACCCATGTGAAATAAGCAAAAAAATAAAATTATGTGTTTTAGACATTACCATTCAACGCAAACTACTTATTCTATCGCATCGAGAACAAAGAATATTCACGTAAAAAGTAACGAAAAATCAAAAAAATCGTTTTGTTACCAATTCTTGTATTCATGTTTCCCAAACTTATTTTTGCAGTATTTTTTGATATTGTATTCCACGATTTCGACATTTTATTAGCGAATACAGTGCCTAATGCATGTCAAAAACTTTTATGTATTAAGCTATAATTAGGTAATAATAAGAATAACATATTTTATTATTTTGGTCACAGATTTTGAGAAATTCATATCTATATTATAATATTCTCTGATTATGCAAGGCACGGTAATGCTCGCCACAATTTTGCGAAGACCCGAAATAATCCAGGGCGGAAAACTTTAAAAAGCTTACCTGAACTTTTTTGCAATGTCGTGAATAAAATTCTAATTATTAAATATACAGAAAATAAAAACGTACGTAGATAACAGCTATTATGTTATGTTTGAATAGAAGTAGCCACGCAATTTTTTGCACAAAAAGTCTTATTATGAGTTGGTACAGTCAGTTTTTGCATATGTTTCATCATTTAGCTTATACCAATTAAATAAAAATATTTAAGTCAAGCGTAGTCGTCGATGTGGGCTAATTAGAGGTAGAATGTCAATTAACGCACAATATTAATTATTACACCACGAAATCGAACAACTAGGTATTGATTAGGTAATATATTTCTTGAAAAAAAAATTGTCAAAACTCTAGTTTTATTCATGTATCTGTTAGTCTAAACTGAATAGATATGACATAGATATAACAGCACTGCGCAGTAAATAAGATGGACCGGTAGTGCCATCATTGACAAAAGACACCACATTATATTCTATAGTTGCGACTCTAAAGACCACACACTAGGTACTAGCTTCATTATAAATAAAAAAGGTTAAATACCTCGTAAGAGACTTTCGTGCTATGAACTCTAGAATGTGCATCCTGAGACTAAGGGAAACATTTTTAATTATAGCATCTTAAATGTGCATGCCCTACAGAGGAAAAGGAAGACGATGTCAAAGAAAAATGATATGAAGAACTAGAAGCTGCATACCATTCATGCCCAAATAATGACATCAAAATTATTTATGGAGATCTCAACGCAACAATAGGAACAGAGCAAGGTATCCAATTATGAGGTATCCAATGACAATGGCGTCAGACTAATAAATCAGATGGGGTCACAGTAAACATTATCGATCATGTTATTATTGACTAT